GACCTTCTTGCTGTGCGGCAACAGTGCTAACCACCGTGCCACCGTGCTGCCTGCACGCACACAAAACCAGTGATTACACAATTGGTACTTTTCTTTAGTTGACACTTAAAACCTATGAGGCTAAGATTTAAAAGATTCTTACAAAAACAGGGATTGTCTTTCAGGGTCAGTGACACATGTGTGGACCCTTCTGAAATCACTTTTGCATTTAAGGAGATTAAAGTTCCCCGGGCCTGCACAGCTTCTTCTGTGTTGTTGCGTGTATGTTTGTCTCAACCAGAGAGCTAAAAGACCGCAACCATAACCACTGCTCTCAGATGATTGTGGGACTTGGAACATCACTGTGGCCGAGGGGCAAATACATCAGAGTGTGGGAGACACAGACAGTGGGAGACAGTGAGTGTGCGAAAAAGCTCTGGGATTGTATACTATTACATCACCACATCCTGTGTCACAAAAACCTCAACAGGGCATGCACGATTACCTCTTGCTCACACACACAGACACAACAGCCATCCATTTATTGTAAACATATCACCACTAAACTTTATCCCAGCCGTCTTCCTCTCATGTTAGTCAGTTGTTTAAAAATGGGTCAAATTCTAAAGACATTCTATCAGCTGAGCGTGTGCATAATCATGTAATTACAAGGATTTTGTGTTCCTTTTATAGAATATCATAACAGAAATTTCAAGCTCCACTTCACCTTGACACTTTGTCTTTCTCTCTTCCTTTATAGCCTCCCTTCCTTCCTTTTTCCTTTATTGCTTCTTTTTTTGTGGATGTAGCAAAACCGAATGTGGTTAGACTGCTGAGCTGCTGCCTGGATTTCATGTTCTATCGAGAGTGGACGTGCACTCTAAGCAAAACCATTCATTATAATAGAAACCCTTTGAAAATAACTGTCATACAACAGTTTCTGCATCTGTCTATTTTGCTCGTGAAGTTAAACAATCAGTTGTTTTTGGACTTACAGAACAGGATGATGAATGTGACCGCAAAATGTTGAAGCCAAATCACAAAACAAGCGTAGCTTTCTTTAAATTAATGGTGATTAACGTTCAAAGAACAACTGCATGTTTTTTTTTAATTGATTGGTTTTATTTTCTTTCCTTTTCCTCCATCCTTAGCAGTTTTGAATAAAAAGGTTCATCTGCTTTGAGTTAATTAGCGGTGACCATTAATTAATTAGCGGTATCCCTGTTTCCATGTTATACTGATTGTCATGGAACATCTAGTAGTTATCAGAAAGCACTGTTAGTGGTGGACAGGGTAAGCAGTTGTTTTGGGTGTTTTTCCTCTGTTAAAAAAAATCATTTTTACAGTAAATGTGTGTTGCATATATATAAGTGTCCAGTCTGAGCTTCAAAAGTGTGTGTTCTTAATACAATACAAATTACAAGAAGTTGGGACACTGTGTAAA